AAAAAAATTGGGAACCCCCGGAGTAGACCATGTGAAAAGTGAACATAATATTTTAGCTGCATTTCATTCATTTTCAGCTTTGTATTCTGGTTATAAAAAAGTGTGCCTAGATGTTCCAGGTTTAAGGTGCCATTTAGCTCCTAGCTTTCGTTTCTCAGAGGGACTGCCTCTCCTGGTATGCCCTGCGGAGGCACAAGGTGGTTAGATTGGTCTCAATTAGGGCCAGGGCCTTTTCAGTACTGGCCCCGACTTGGTGGAACACTCTGTCACAATAGACTAGGGCCCTGCGGGACTTGACATCTTTCCGCAGGGCCTGCAAGACAGAGCTGTTCCTCCTGGCCTTTGGTTTGGACTCAGTCTGACCCTTATGTTTCCCTCCCCTTATGGTTTTGATCTATGGGCTACTTTTAAAATGAGGCTGCATTTTAGATTGCATTTTAACCTGTATTTTAAACTGGGGCTTTCTTTTATCCTATTATGTTTTTACTGTAATTTTACTGGTGTTATCCGCCGTGAGCCCAGCTCTGGCCAGGGTATCAATTATTATTATTATTATTATTATTATTATTATTATTTCTTCTATCGCTGCCCATGAGAGGTTGTGGACTCCTTGGAGGTTTCTAAGCAGAGGTTGGATGGCCACATGTCCTGGATGCTTCAGTTGATATTCCTGCATTCCAGGGGGTTCGACTATATGGCCTTTGGGTGTCCCTTCCAACTCTATGATTCTGAGATTTGATGCTCTACTGACTGAAGGGAGAGGAGGCCTGATGGAGCCGGCCTGCCATCTTCCCCAAAAAACAGCCACAGGGAAGGGGAGGGAGGGCATCTTCAAGGCACGTACCACGAGACATCTGTTTCGCACCCTTCCCAAATCCCTTGCAGTGCTGTGCACATGGGAAGGAGGGTCCAGAGGGGTGGAAATTTTGAAAAAAACGGGACAGCGACTGCTATACGCCAAGTTAAGAAACTGTGTGCTGAACTTCCGTTTAAAAACCGCTCTGGATATCAAAGCTGCTTTCGTTTCCACTCGCCGCCCCCGAGTATTTTCCAGCCAGCGAAAACGGCTTGGGTCGTGGGCGTCTCAAGTGCCCGCCAGCCTCCCAGAGACAGGAAACGGTTTAAGAACAAAAGCTGCTCAAGTCAACAAGCGATCGGTACTGAGCATTCGCAAACGCCTTAATGCAATCAAGGGAGGTGGTCTGATCACTGCAGTCCCACTTTTAAATGAAAACATAACCTATTTTATGGCTGGGGAAATTTGTTCTGAGTCCAACGTCTCAGTCGTTCTTTGTCCGCAGTCATACCAACTGGCCCCTGCAAAGGTTCGTAGCTGCAGCTCCACACTTGTGATAATTCCCTTAAAGGTAAAGGGACCCCTGACCATTAGGTCCAGTCGTGGACAACTCTGGGGTTGCGGCGCTCATCTCGCTTTATTGGCCGAGGGAGCCGGTGTGCAGCTTCCGGGTCATGTGGCCAGCATGACCAAGCCGCTTCTGGCGAACCAGAGCAGTGCATGGAAACACCGTTTACCTTCCCGCCAGAGCGGTACCTATTTACTTGCACTTTGACGTGCTTTCGAACTGCTAGGTTGGCAGGAGCAGGGACCAAGCAACGGGAGCTCACCCCGTCAAGGGGATTTAAACCGCCGACCTTCTGATCTGCAAGTCCTAGGCTCTGTGGTTTAACCCACAGCGCCACCCGCGTCCTTACACTAGCCCAAAAATGACCCGGTGCTGAAATTCAACAGGGGCAGACCCCCTATGGAAATTCACAATTGCTGGTTAACATAAAATCATAGACACCCACCCACCCACACCCCAGGGTCAGGTAGTCCAACCCAATGCAATGCAAGAGTCTTTTGCCCAATTTCTCATGCACCAAACATAGGTCTACGTTCTGTTTACACCAGGCCCATGAGTTTAACCATCTGTTAATACAGGGACAGGGAACCTGCAGCTCGCAAGGTCTTGCTGGATACAACACCCGTCCTCCCTGACTAGACCTGACGCAAGTTGCAGTCCAGAAACGTGCATCTAGAAGGTCAAAGATTCCTCATTCCCTGATTAACAGAACAAGATTCACAGACACACAACCAATGTTCTGCACTTTGGCCTGGCAAAATGCTTCTGCGCAACTCAAGAATACAGACACCAGCAGGTTGTTCCTAAAACATGTCAGTTTAATGAAAGATACCTCCTAGATGATTCTCTCTGTATCAAGCAAGCTTACAGCAGATTCATGAACACAGCTATTTTACATTGTCTCTCTCAGCCTCACGTGCTTCAATGGAAAAGGATCATTTCCCCCAATAAAAGCTGTGTCTGCGTCAATTGATCCACAACACCGGTTTTGTGCAACTTTCACTTGAGCAAAACCCACAGAATTACCCCACCCCGGGCAGGTGAGAAAAAAACCTTTGGCACTTAAGACAGGGAATGCAAGAATTCCCCCCCCCACAAAAAAAACCCCAAAGGTGGCCTTGTAATGTTCCCCCCAAAGTGCTTGGGCTGGTCAAGGAAAGGAGGCAACCAAAATTTAAAAGTGTTTGACTCACTCAACCCAACCAACCACACGGTACAAACACACACAAACACACACACACACGGTTGGTGAGCCCTTTTGAAACAGTCAAGGCACCAACATTTTAAGGCAAGACGGTTAACGAGCTGTGGAGATGGCAGAGAAGTATTTTGGCACCAGAAACCAGTTTGTTGTTGGTGGTGTTTTTAAAAAAGAGCAAACTGATTTGTAAAACATGGCAAAGGGTTGTGTGCAAGGGCCCTGGATACATCGCTTTGAGATATCAATCACACCGGAGGGGGTGTGGTTGTGCAAGGAACCACATAAGGAGGGGTGGTGACAACTCAGTTGCACGAAAGACCATGCCACCAGCCGGTGCAACGATATTCCAATCGCACAGCAGTTGTGTCGTGATTCCTCCAGGGAGCAGCATTCGAACTCTCCCCTCTGCTGCCGCAAGAGGCCCTTGCTCCAGCATGCAGAGGGTGACAAGATACAGCCTGACTGCCCGTTTCTGAGACCTGCTTAATTCTTAAAACCCAGGGAAGGATTGCCAAGCCATCCCCACGCCAAATTTGGCTATGGTTTTATTTTCAT